TCTCAGCACTCTGCCACCTGAGCCAGAGAGCAGGGCTAGTGGCCAAGAGCCTGAGGGCAGGGTAGGTAGCACTAGGTGGACAGGGAAAGCACATAAAGTGGGCCCGGTGCATTTTTAATAAAAAATAGTTGAGGTTAATTATAAATAATAGCCCAAGAGCATTAGAAATAATATGTCAGACCTAAGAGAACATTAGAACCAAATTAAAGATCAAATTTGTGAAGCTGAATGTAAGAGGAAAAAATGAAACCATGAAAACTCCACGGAGGAATTAGACAGAGGGGAGACCAAGGAAGCAGAGTTGAATTATGACTTTGGGCTCCAGGCACTTTTTCCCTTATGGGTTCCTTCCTCCATAAAATAACAATTAAAATGATATTTTACAACTTTGTTGATATAAAGATAAATAGATTAATATTACATATTAAAACATTTCTTTTACCTAAAATTTCATTTTTTTTCTTTTGATTAGAAAATTAAAACGTTGTCAAGAGCTCAGAAAGGATTGTGGGTCCCGAGCATCATCTCTATTTACCTTCGTCAGCCCTGAAAGAAGAACAACACAGGACTCAGCTGAGCCAGCACCCTGAGGACAGGTTTTGGTTCATGTTTGTGTCCCTGGCATCTAACCACGATAAATTCACTTTTTTTCTATTCAGTGGACACCTACTCTGTGCCAGACACTGCACTAGGTGCTGGGGATTCAAAAGTAAGATGCTACCCTGTCTTCCATGTTGGTTCCAGTGCCCATGGAGCCGTGTCTAGTAGGAACCTTTTCAGTCGTAAGGGAGAATTGCATACACAAAAAAGGAAAACTGAGGTTAAGCAAAAAAGCACGTCAGTTCACATAAATGAAACTGTCTCTGGTGAGAGGTGGTTTCCTGCCTGACTAGAGATCAAGTGACCATAACAAAACACCAATGAACATTAAGTTCTCACATGTCTGGCATGATTCTGGGCATTTTACATGCTGCCATTCATTTACCTCACAACAAACCTACAAGGTAGGTAGTATGACTATGTGCCCAGGAGAAAAGTGCAAACCCAACTTCTCTTCATCTCTTGGCTCTGCCTTCCAGAGTGTGAGGTTTCTTCTCAAGTTCTCATAGTGGCCCTGAATTTATTAGAATTGGTCATGAGAGAAAATTTTACAAGTTATTAAAAAATAATCTACAGGGCTTGGAGATTCATTGGCTGTAAAGATGGGGTGGGGTGAGGGTGAAGAGTCAGGTCTTCGGCTGCAATACTTTCTAAGGTGAATACAGAAGGGAGTCTTGACATTTGCGAAAGATAAACACAGTTTTGGGTTTAGTGTGTCAGCTGGATACTGAGATGTCTGCATTTGTATTATATCAGATTATTCTAAAAAGTCACTAGAGAAACTTAAATAAAAAGACATAATAGAATAGGATGAAAAATAAACAGAAGAGAAAATCAGGTTGGAGGGAAGATCTTTTCTCCTCAGGAGACCTCCTCTGTGACTACTACCACTCCTGCTGGGTTAGAGACCCCATTGTGCCATACTACTGCATATTTCTCTCATCATAGCACTTACATAAGACTTAGTTACAATTTCCAGCTTAATGTAAGTTCCATGAGGGTAGCCTCCCTGTTGGAGTAATACACCATCCTTCTCCGTCACATAACACAACAAATATCCAATGGGTGAATAAGTAAATGAAAACTATGCAAACCTCATAACAGACCTTTAAAAGAGAGAATTATCCCTCACCAGAAATGAAGCTCAGATGTTTTTGACTATGAAAGCCCTGCTTTTCCATGCACCTTGCCACCTCCCACTCTAAAACAGATATGGGTAAATAAAACAGTGCACAGAAGAATGGCCCAGATGTGATAATATTTCACAAGGAATGGCTGAATAAACTGGCAATGCTTGGTCTGAGATTGTGGGAAACTTTCTAAATGAGGCAGTCCTGTGTGCCTTGCTCTAGTTAGACTCCAGGGATATATACATCACAGAAATAAAGAAATTTTGTCATGCAGATGTTGCTGCCAGGAGGCCAGCTGCCTCATGTTGGAAGCTGTAAAGACAGATTTTGATCTCAGTATAAAGAAAACGCTTTTATCAGTCAATGTCCAAAAATATAGCTGTCTGAGAGGTAGTGAGCTCCTTGTCACTGGAGTTTTTCAAGTACAGGCCAGCTAAGGATAGGCTGCAGATGGTAGAGGACATTTCAGTGTCCTCTATGGAGTTCCCTTCAGTTCTGAGGATATACCATTCAACTCTCAGTAAAGGAAAGTTAAAGGATCTCCAGCACTTAACAGAGAAAGTTTTCTACCAGGAAAGTGTATATCCTTGCCCATGTAGGAGTAATATCACAGCAGAAAATGGGCACACAGATTGAATTATCCTGCCCATTGTCTTCACCCCATTTCCACTATTCTATTACTTTACACTTTAAGGCCTTGCATGGCTTGCCATGTTGCAGGATGAAATATGTTCTGACTAGCTAACTAGATTATTCTAGGTCACTTATCAGTTAGACTTCTTGGGGAAATTAATGAATCCAGCACTGAAGTTATTCTGTGTTTTCTGAGTTTGATAATTACAGATCAGTTCCTCCCAGCCTAACCATGCTGGAAAGCATAATAAATCTGTGCTTTGGGTCTGAAGAATGATGAACCAAGCCCTGCATATCCACAATCCACCCGTGTGCCTCCTCCTGATTAAAGCAGCTATATAAGTGCCACATATGCTGGCTGACAGGTTGAGACTCTGAGTTAGTATCTCCACTCTTTTTAATTTATAATCATATCAGTAATAATCATAGCAGTGATGGTAGAGAGTGTAATGGAACGAAGACAACTAAGAAGTTAAGTTACACCCTGGCTGGCATGGCACAATGGGTAGGGTGGCATCCCACAAAGCCAAAAGTTGCCAGTTGATTCCCAGTCACAGCGCATGCCTGGGTTGTGGGCCTGGTCTGTGGTTGGGGTGAGTGCAAGAGGCAACTGATGTTTCCCTCCCTCTCTTTCTCCCTCCTTTCCTCTCTCTAAAATAAATAAAATCTACTAAAAACAAGAGGAAAGGAAGTTACTTTTTCAATGTGATTTTTATTATTTGCTGCTGTAGATGTATCAGGAAGGAATAAAAAGTACCAACCCTTCCACCAAGCTTGTAGTCCCAGGGATCAGGGTCCATGATCTCTGAGCTTTCATGTGATTTCCAAATAGCTATGTAGACATTTTATGTGAGAAAGGTGCAGCTGGGCACTTAATTTTGTATGTGGGTTTAAAGGGGGTAATTGGCTGGATTTCCAAGGATTTGGGAAAAGAACACGAACTTATTTTTCCTTGGAGTTGGAGAACTGAGCCTGCTCAGACCATCCCCTCTGTGGTGGCAGGACCTTGAAAGGAGTGGCTGCTGGGAAGCTGTTGCAGCCTTTGCATTAAGCCGTGGAAGCCTGCAGGAGGAGCTCTGAATTTCCCCAGAGGGACCATGGAAGGACCTCTGGTTCAGGACACAGAGCTGGACAGACAGATCCCAGGGTTGTTTCATGACGCATCAGCCAGGACACTGGTTTCCCAACAGTGGCATCGTGTGGTCATAAGGACCAATAGCAGCAAAGACAGCCAAGGGGAGAGACTCGATTTTAAATCCCCAATGTTCTCATCTAAAGTCCTCCCCTCCTGATCCTTATCTGTATGTACCCTTCCTGCTTTCTTCAGAGCCCGTATCCAGAAGGTCCCTCTAGTTCATGTTTACTCATTTTTATCTGGCTTATGCATTTACTTGTTTATTGCCTGTCTCCCCCTACTAGGTTCACAAAGGCAGGGATCTTGTCTTTCTTACATGCCACTGTATCCCCTGGGGAGCTCTTAAAATAGTGTCTGGCAGATACTCAGAATTCGGTAAATATTTGTGGAATGAGTGGATGAATGAGTCATACAGCTGAAACTAACTAGGTTCCAGACACTGTATGTAATGCTCATACCAGCGCAGTAGGGGCTGTCATTTTCCCATTTTATAGACAAGGGAACTGAGAGCCTAAATTATTAACCACTGAGCTTCTTGCCCCTCACCATTCCTGTTTTCCATCCCACTATTTACCTTTTCCAGGAGCACTTCCTTAAACATCCCCCTTTTCCTCCTTCAGTTTAGGTTGCCTCTTTCCTCTCAAAATAACTTGTGTCTAACTACCACTGTACTTACATCATTCATCTCAGTTATATGTTTGTATCTCCCTAAAATCTGAAGCCCTCAGATGCCTCAGAAAGGATTGTCATCTTGATGTTCACAAGTCCTAGCATAGAGCCTGGAGCACAGTAGTTACTCAAATGCGTTTTTATATGACCATGACTGAATGAATGGGTAGATGACCATGCTCCCATCCCTAGTCAACCCCTCCCACTTCTCCCTTCTGTGATGCTCTTGCTCCATGAGGCCCCACTGGGTGCCAAGCATAGTATTTGGTGTGGGAAATACAGAAATGAATAAAACGGTCCCTGCTGCAAAGGAAACACAATCTAATGGTATGGGGAGGGGGAGAGAAGTCGCAAATAATTACAATTAGTGCAGTTAGCACTGAGGTATGCAGGTCGTGCTGGAAGCAAGGAAGAGAAGCGTCTGGTCCTGAAACAGGGGTACCTTGCTGAGTTTTGCAGGACAGTAGAGGTAATAGTGAGAGCACACAGTTCAGTCCATTCTAACAGAATAAAGGTAAGTGGCAAAAGCTGAGGGCTATAAATATGGGCAGGCACCCGATCACTAAATGTTACACAAAGATATTCAAGGTAATGTGATTAAAGAGCTTGGACTTCATTCTAAGTGATGGGGAGCCATTGAGGGGTCTCAGTTGGGAGGGTGATGGGATCAAATCGGCAGTTCAAATAACACCAATGTCAGGTGAAAGATAAGGCCTGAAATAGAACAGTGGCCATGGGTATTAAGAAAAGTAGATTGCAGAGGTCAAAGCAACGGGGTAATTGTTTCCATGTTAGGGGGATGTGAGAAGGAAGAGTCAGTGAGGGCTGCCAGATTTCCGTGTGGATGCTGACACCTTTATTGGTAAAGAAAATACAACAGGAGGAGCAATCTTGAATGCATACAGCAAGTGCTCAACATATAGCCATGGCATTGAAATTGAACTTGCTTTAAAAGTACAAAATAAATTGAACACATTGAATTTGCAGTACTTTTCAACTGCAGCTCAAGGCAATGGTCTGGGGTGTATGTGGCAGGTAGAAGTGAATGTTAACCAAGGAGCAACCAGAAGGAGAAAACGGCTGAGAACAGAATCCTGGGAAACCCAAATTTGAGGAGGTGGTAGAGGAAGAGGAGACAAAGGAAAACTGTAAGGTGGCATTGAGCACCTACAGCAAGGGACTGTACTGGATGTGTACCCCTGAGGAAAACACTTAAGGAGCAAGCCACACCAGGATATTTCTGTGTGTCACTGAAGTAGAGCCCAGGGTTCATTGGAAACTACAGAAATCATACAATAATCTCTTTGAAACTGAAGCCACATCCCTGGTTCCAGCATTTGTCTTATTCATTGCACCGCCTTCCCCCCACTCCCCACCCCACCACAACCCCCATCTCTCCCTATGGAACCTGGATTAGGTAATATTACTTTTATTGATGGTGAGAGCAGGTGTGAGTGGCTGCTCCTAGGACACAGGGTGCTAGGCTGAAGAAGGCAGAAAGAGGGGGGCAGAGCTGGGCTGTGGATGCGGAATCCATTCCTTATTTGGGCGTGAATTCTGCATTCTGAAAGGAAGATTTATTTTGGGACTAGGCATAGGCACGGCGGAGGCGGACAGCACCAGCCATCAGGCCGCACTCTCTATTTGGAGCACAGCCAAGTCGGCAGCCCCAGGTCTCCCAGGATCTTCCTTTGTGTCCTCCGGAGGTTCTGGCTGCAGCTTGGATTCCGGTGCAGGCTCGGCTTCTTCCGACTGGCCATTAGCACCCCGGCCAGGCCCAAGGCGAGGTGGCTTGACAGGCGTTGGCGCTGCAGGGCCTTTTCTGCTGGAAAGGGCCCTCCGCAGGCTCTGTACCTTTTCTAACCCAGTGCGCCGCAGCCGCTGCGCCCTGGATTCCACCGGCTCCTCATCCGAGCTCTCCCCAGCTTCAGCCTCCAGATGCTCTGGGCTGGGCTCAGACTCGTCCACCGGGCCTACAGGCTCCAGCGCCTTCTGGAAGGCTCTGGGTGGAATTTCAGCCTCCTCCTGCATGTGATGGACAATAAACTGAGCATAGATGCCTCCCACCCCGCACCAGCCTGAGCCTCACCCCTCAAATCGCCCCACCCTTAGCCTCTGCAACCCGAGTGGGAAAGAAAATGCAGGCGTGGGAAAGTAGGGGGCGGGACGAACTGCAGAAATTTGTAAAATAGGTGGGACCTACTTAGGGGCATGAGACAAGGATGGCAACCAGAGGGGAAAGAACTGGATGGAGGAGGGGCGATACACTGTGGAGGGATTCACTTCCACCACCGTCATTTTCTCTCAGGGATGGGCTAAAACTTGGAGTAAATTCTGTGGACGCGTCCTAAGTAGGCAGGCAGGGCTTTGATTGGCCAGGCTGGGTTCAGGAATGGGAGGGAGGGAGGGATGGGCTGGGTGTGGGGAGAGGGTGGGGCTCTTAACTCCTTTCCACACAGAGCCAGGTCAGGAAAGTGGGTGTGGTGGGCGGATGGGAGGGGAGAGGCCCCAGATAGTGGCCTGGAGGCGGGAAAAGGTCCCGGATTGGGGGATGCTGAGGTCACTGACCTTGAAGAGCAGGACGTGGAGCTTCCCGCGCGCCACCAGCAGCCCGTGGTTGGCCTCCAGCCGCTGCACCTGGGCCGCACGATGCACAGCGCGCTCCTGAGCAGCATCTGCGTGAGAACCCACGCGCTCCGCCTTGGCCAACAGCTGCACCAGCGTGTTGCTCGTAGTGTCGTGGCTGCGGCTCAGCGCACCCAGGCCGCTCTGGATGCGGCTCACGGAGCCAGCCAGACTGCCCTGCCTCTGCGCCAGACCCCCCTGCCTCTCCCGCAGCGCCTCCAGCATGGTGGCCAGCTTTTCTAGCAGGGTCACCACCGTCACCGCGTGCACTGGGCCCCCCGCCGGCGTAGGCCCCGGCTCCAGTGTGCTCTCCCCCATGATACCCGACCTGCTTTCCCTGCGACCGTTGGCTGAGCTCTGGGCTGGGGCTGCCTTTTCCCGGCTCCTCCCCAGCTCCAGCGGTGACTCAGGCAGGCGGAGTTGTCCTTCTCTGGCTGCGGGAGGGAGGGAGGGGGTGGGGCGGGATGTTGCCAGCAAGGTCCAGCGTACGAGTTCCCCCTTCTGCCGCCCCGCCCCATAGCCCCTGGGGGAAGCAGGTTGGCCCAGTTATCAGCCCCACCCCGTCCCGCAGACTCCCACTCTGTGTTTGAGTTCTCCTCTGCCCCAATTCCCTGGCATGCCTCTTTCTGGAACATACTCTCCACCAGAGAGGGTGAGCCATGGAAAATTCTGTTGTCTGCATCAAGCGGGCAGAGAGACTACAGTGTTTATGTTAGGCCAGCAAAGGGATAACCAGATAGGCCCCCGCAGCAGCCCGCCCTGGCCTCGCAAACCTCTGAGGGCTGTTTTTTCACCCCCAGGCCGGTCCCGTAGACAGGGAGGTTGTCAATGTTCCACTACATACCTAAGACTGTCTAGGCCCGAGGCCTTGTTTTGTGGCTGGGCAGGCTTCGCAATGTGAACCGCAGGCGGGGCATCCTCTGGTATGTTCCGAACAGTCATCGCCAGAGGTTAGCTGCAGGTCCCATTTCCTGCTTCTCTAGTTCTTACTGTTGGGTAGCATTACCGTGTCTTTTTTCTATTTCTCTTCCCTCCCTTTCATTGGGCTTCGTGGGTAAAACGCAGAACCCCTGGCTCCTGCACCCCAAGCTTGGAGGGCAGGCAGAATACTGCTTTCTTTGAAACCCCTATGAGGATCAGAGTAAATGCTGGTATGTCTTTGTTTCGTGAAGATAGATTGTGGCTCCTACCTGATTGTTTGTTTGTTTGTTTGTTTGTTTGTTTGTTTCTAGAAATAGGTGAGAATATTTGCTGCAAGTGAAGGAGATTTGAAACTGCTGATGCATAGGGAAGTAGAGTAAGCACAGAGGATCCAGTTAATGATGTAGGTCATGAATCTGCAGTGTCTTCAATTTGGAAAATTTCATGCCTTGTCTTCAGCAATACTTGGTAAACCGAAGGTAGATTCAGAAATCCAAGCAACCCATTGATACTGATGATCTCTCTGCACACCCGATCTGTAAGGGCTACTTGATAACAACTACAGAAGAAACCATGTCACTTGGGATAGTTAAATGGGTCTGGAAAGTCCCAGGGTCTGACTTATACAGAAGTATAGCAGAAGATGGGCAACTATTGCCAGAAATCTGGTGATGCCAAATTAATGATGGACTTCTACAAATACAAGGTCATAGAGCCCGACCAATCTGCTTAACGCAAGAGAAATGGACTCCCTTGGGAGCCAGACAGGAATCACCATCTCTTCTAATGGGCCTGTATTTTCCCAGAGACACTCATCAGGATGTGCCAGTTAAAGTGCTTTCAAACTGAGGGAACAGAAAACCTACAGTAATTCAAACAGTTCTTAGAAACAGGAAATCCAATCCCAACGTAATTGAAAAAGACCATTGTAGGGTGATGATTGAATGTGGATCGGTCACAGCTCCAAATCTGGTTCTCTACACTTCCCTCAACTGTGTCCCCTACAGGTGTCAGCTTTATTCCCAGGATGGGAGCAAGGTAACTACCGCAGTTCCAGACTTCAGGCCTCTGCACAAGATTGAGGGAAAAGAAGGGACCAGTTTAAAATTTAAGACATTTATTTCTCAGAAGCCTCCCACACTCCCGCAAAATTTTTCCACTTGCCTCCCACTGTGTTACATAGCCATTCCAGAAAAAAAATTCCTTGGCTAAGAAAGTATCATGCATTGGTGAGTTTCAGCCTGAGTTCCTTAACCCACCACTGACAAGAGAGCTGATCATTTCCTTTTGAAAAATTAGTCCCATTTCTGGAGCAGCATAAGGTCAGCTTCCCCAGGAGCATGTGGGTGGTATGGGAGGAAAAGTTGATATCTGTATTAAAACCTGAGTGTTGCTAGGAATAGATAGTCAATCAACATATCTACCACAGGAAACCTATGAAAGCTTTGAGGAATGGTGCTAAGGAAGCCCAAAGCATTTGCAAGCAAGAACTATGTGGGTATGTGTTAATCAAAGGCCTGCTACATCCCTCTCAGGAAATGTAGATCAAGAAGGACCTTAAAGCTTGCCAATAAAGCTGTTGATAGTTCTACTGGTATCTCCCAAAAACTTCAAGTATGAATGCCATAGGAACTGGCTAATGCTGGAAAATAGAGGCCCATGAAGTGGGTAAAAATAACTCAGAGCAACTCAGAAGAATGCCCTGAGTCAACAAACCCCAGATGACAAAAATTAAAATAGTGTGTGTGACCTTGCCCTCGCTGGTGTGGCTCAGTAGACTGTGTGCCAGCTGTGAACCAATGGGTCACTGGTTCGATTCCCAATCAGTCGACATGCCTGGGTTGTGGGCCAGGTCTCCAGTTGGGGTGTCTCAGAGGTAACTGTTGGATGCATCTCTCACACACTGATATTTCTCTCCCTCTTTCTCCCTCTCTTCCCCTCATTCTAAAAGTAAATAAATAAAAGTTTTAGGAAAATATAGTGTGACCTTGATCATGGAGTCTCCAAGAAAAAGACATATGGCAGTTTCTAATAAGGATGAGAAAAGAAGAAAACAACAATGCAGAATGATATGTTCTAAGACAGGGTAACCTAATCTTAGCTGAAATATTTCTATTTTCTAAATCAAGGGTGTGGCTGGGATGTACGCCTTCAAACTCTTTGGTATGGGCATGAAAAGTGGATACCCACTGGAATGGGTTTGATTTGTCCCCCCCCCAAAAGATGTCAAGTCCTACCAATGAATATGTTCTTTGGGGGAAATAGGGCCTTTGCAGATCTAATCAAGTTAAGATGGGATCATACTCATTTTAGAGTATGCATGGGCCCTTAAACCGATATAACTGGTGTCCTTACAAGAAAAGGACAAGAAACACACAGGGAGAGCACCACATGGCAGTAGAGGCAGAAACTGGAGTTTTGCTGCCACAAGTCAAGGAATGCCTGAAGTGAGCAGAAACTAAACGCTAAAAGAAGCAAGGAAGTAGTCTCCCTTAGAAGCTCTCTGGAGGGGCCATGGCCCTACCAGCACCTTAATTTAAGACTTCTACCCTCCAGAACTGTGAGCGAGCAAGTTTCTGTTGTTTTAAGTCACATCTGTGCAAATTTACTTTGGTAATCCTGAGAAACTTTGGTAATCCTGAGAAACTAATATACCCAGTGGTTAGCTGCCATGAGTATCACTGTATCCCCTTACCCAGAATGCTTCCCACAAATGTCTTCCCTGTTAATTCCCTGGAAGTATTAAATTCTCTGTAGGAAAAGGTAATAACACCTGAAGATTCCTTGTAGAATATAGAGAATTAAATTAATGGCTGCCCAAAATGTAATGGGTCTTGCAAAAAACCATGAATGCTGTGGTGGTTGAGCTAATATATGCTTTAAAAAACTGCAGCTAAAACAAAGATATTGCCTACTCTGCTTGTCAAGGATTCCTTTTATACACTGGTCCATCCCCTTTCCAGACCATAACATACTATGAGGAAGAGTTGGCTTTATTAAAAAAAAAAATCCACTGCACTTTTCACAGGGCTGGACCTTCCTGCAATACAGCTGCCTCTGTCTCTGCCTCTATCAATAACAATTGGGTGCTCCCTTGACTTTCAGAGAAAGGAAAAGGAAGAGGGACAGGTCAGGTTCGAGTGCCTTAGGTGGTACCATAATGCATCCTTGTTTTCTTTCTTCTTGTCTACATGATCAGGTACTCCCTGTAAATGTTGCAAAGATCCCCTGAAATGAGAGAGACTGAGATACTACAGTTCTTTTACCATCTTACCTGGAGGGGACAAGCATGTGTCCTTAGGTCTGGAGGCCAGCCACAAGGGATCCAGTGGACGGGGCTTTCCTGGAGTAGTGAAACACATATAATACCCCCCACTGAGAGGAAGTACAGCACCTCATGGGGGTGTTTGGGTTTTAAAGTCAACATAGGCTCCTCCTGGTAGTCCTTATACACTCAATAGCTTGGGTTATCCAAAAAGCTACATTAAATGGGTTCAAGGGAGCCTCTGTGATTGGCCCTGGCCAAGTTACAAGCCACAGTCTGGTCAGCCCTACCCCTTGGGCCCTATATATCAGGAAAAAAGATCAGACTTGAGGTATCTGTGATTTGTGCCTTTCCTACCAATACGATTGGGGGAGAGGGGATGAGATGGCAAATCCTAGCAGGAAGAATATAGCAAAAGTACTTAGGATGTTGGACTAAGGCAATACTTCCAGCAGCTGAGAAGTATACTTCTTATGAAAGACAATTGCTGGCATACTACCAGATGCCAGTGGAGAGAAAGTCACCAGAGGTCCCAGGGTTGTTTTGTAAATTGGAACCCTCGGTTTCGTATAACAATACAGGCTAACAGCCTTTTGATTATTAAATGGGGAAAAAAATTATGGGAGTGAATTCTGTAGGAAACATTCCTGACCCCAAGCCTCACATTCAGCTGACAGACACACTGGGACTTAACCTTTGAATCAAAAGTAACAATGTGGAAAAAATACAATAAAAATATAAACATGAAAATAAATTAAAAACAGTGACAACGTGCAGCACAGCAGAACTACCTTTCTACAAAGAATGAGCCTCAGTGGACAGGCACTACTTTCCACCCTTTGTCATTGACATCCTGCCTGCGGAAGAGGTACAGCCATTGCACACAATGAGGGAGCTCTCTGGCAATTAAAAGAGCTATAACTTTGAGACAACAAGAAGTGAGGGGCAGAAAATAACTTCACCAACTAAGTAAATCAATCAACATGCCGTGGATGGAGGTTTTGGCAGAGTCACACGGGACACATCAGAACACCATGCACCTGAGATAAGACTGAGGTTAGCAGGAGCCCTAATTGGAGCAATTGGAGACTCTAATTGCTGCTAGGGCCAATTGTCAGATTGTGGGAGTTGGGCTCTTCTGAAGAAATGTCCTGGAAAATTCCAAAGGCAAGCAGCTTGGAAGCAGTTACTGAATAGACTCTATTGAACCTCTTTCTGTAATCTG